CTTTTGCCAATCAACTTTCTTTGTATTCCATCGGGCCCTTCTTTTCGCTTTGTTTTTGTATTGGCTGAGAGTTTCATTAACTATTACTGTGACCAAAGGCTTCAGGTGATGAGTAAGATGAGAGACAAATTTAAAGCAATTGATGAGGAGGCTAATTATGCGTCTGGTCTGGATGTTGTCCGTGCATATACAAGGTTGGTTTTCCCCCTGGAGTATGTATTCCACCAAATTCTTGTTAATGAATTCCTCCCAAGTTTTTCCCACTGAATATGTACAACTGTAATCCCATCTCCTAGGCATCTCCAAGCCAGGAGAGTGAAGGGTTGTTGCATGGTGGGTTATATACATAGGAGAGACGTCGGTGTGTTCTCCCTTCCTATACCTTTAGTTCAACCGCTTCGAATTTGTCAATGTCATTCATGTTTTTTTTCTTTATTTAGAACTCCACAGTCAAGTTTGACCTCGCAGGTACTACGCAACTACTATACTCCAGATGTGCAATAACTTCTGGAAAGAATATACCTCTGGTGTCCATCATGTTGGAATTGAATTTTATTGTCAGTTGCAGCTCCTGCCTCTACGATTGCGTATAGGTCTACATCGTTTTCCTTTGCATGCTGTTGGAGCTCGATACACTTAGCATTATAAAACCTCCAGCATTCCAAGAAAGTACTTTCAACGTGGCCCTTCGTAGTCTGTTGATTGTTCGACTTGCTTCATCTTGATAAAATCCATTAGTATGCTTGTTTTGATTGCATTGACGAATGCCTTAGAAAGTTCGAAGATTGCGATGTCGCTATAGCAAAGGGCAGATAAACGGCGACAGTGTATAGGATTAGTATCCTCTATACTTTGTTCAGTTGAGTCTATCAAATAGTATAATGCGTTGAGGATATCTGAGAACACGAAGTAGATGACTATACTTCACCCAATTTTATTTTTAATGAAATTTTGTTTTTAATAGAAATTAGCAGATCATAATAATCAAGACTGCAGGTTATGTTCAAATTTTCCATCTTCGAATTACAGTGGATATCGTTTACAACGACGTAGGTTGTAACAATGTATCGGCTAAAACGACGAAAACGTCATGTTCGATATTTCAGATGGCTTTTGTAACATAGTTATTAATGGATATAACGACCACTGTTGTAACGACTGATTGGATTTAAATACTCGATTTCTTATTTTTCGTATTAGATCAGATTCGAATTAGATCTGGGATATATTACGAATTAGACTGGGGAGTCGGAGTTCAGAACTCCTATAACCTTTGTTTTTATAGCTCACTTATCTAGGAAATTTTTAATTTAATTACTTCGCTATGTGAGCATAACATTTATAGGACCAATGTCATCCCCACTCTAAGGATTAAATTCATATTTCTGTTTAGTACTGTAATAAGAATATTGAAGAGCAAAAAGTTTATCCTTGGAAGACAAATCCCATATTTATGAATGGATTCCATATGCCGATTGTAGAGGGAAGAGTCCAATAGTAGCATGAATCAAGAATTTAACGTAAGTCTTTCATAAATTTTTATAGAGTCTATTTGAGAACATGTAGCCCAGTAACCTTGTCATGAAAAGGAGGGTCTAAGTTGTATCGAATGGGGGATAGGTTTATTTTTTTTTTTCTTATATGGGATGTGACTGAGATGCAAAATTCAAGTTTTCGATCTCAGCGCCTCCCGAATCACATTAAACCCCCTAAAACTGCTATATTTTCGTATTTTTTTTTTTTTTTTCGGTTTTTGCACATTTTTACAATGAGGGAGCACGTTTTAGACAAAAAACATTTTATACATTTTAAAAAAGATCAAATATGCTACAATATAAAACCATAACAGGCTCAGTAAATTAAATAGTTTACGAGATACAGATTTTCAAATTTTAGAAATTGAACATTTTTATTGAAAATATTTTTCCTATTTGATCATATGCACTTGTCTTTATATTGTCAATAAACTATCTTATACGATTCAGTGAAGTAAATTTTTATTCATTTTAGTATTTTGAAGGAGGGGTGAGGGAGGAGTGGAGGTTTAGTGGGAGAGAGGAGATTACTTTTCACAACCAGAAGACTGAATTTGAAATAAAAAATATATTTAACCAACATTTACATCAAGTGCATACCGAAATATTAAATGAAGTGAATCAAATGTTCGAAACTTGAAAATATTAATAATAAAGCTAATTTCATGCTTATGTATTCAATAACCTGCCTTATAAGAGTTAGTGAAGTAAACATTGATTTAAGTTATTGTTTTGAAGAAGTTGAATACATGGATATATGAATGGCTATAAATAATAAGAGCTACAAATAATTGATAAAATAAGTGAGCTAGAGAACCCAAGTCATTTATTGCGTTCGATCTTTTTCGTAGGCGCCTGGGCCAGTGCCTATCGATTAAGTGCACTTCCTAAAGAACCCTTGCAAATATGTTATAAATTAATGAGTGATTTAGAAAGAAGAATGTATTTTCTTGATGCTGTATCCTAACGAGTTTTTAATTATTTTTGGCCGTTTAATTATAAATGACGCTTGATTTTCTGCATTAATTTGAACGACTTGACTTTACTGATATTTTTTATTGCAAAGGCCAATTATTTTTCATTTTTAAAAATGTTTTATTATTCTCTGGCTATCCAGCTTTAATAAAAGACCAATTATGACGAAACTAAGCCGACTACTGAATCTCAGTGATCAATAAACCAACTCAAATCAAAGGAATCCACCCATCATGTTTGGATGCCATTTTAGGACAGTGCAGCCACCTATTTTTTTGGGACTATTGGCTTCTTTTAATAAATAGTTATAAGGAACAGAGTGATATGAAATTTATAGGGATGTAAGTGGGAGGTACAGGTAGGGGGTTCTGGAAAACACCCTCCTCCACCATCACCCCTCCTTCAAAATATGAAAATGAATAAATGTTTACTTCACTGACTTATATCAGACAGGTATCGGAGTACATATGCTATTGTCTTATTTAAGATATAAGACAATAGCATATGTTAAAAAATGAAAAACTTTGAAAATAAATAAAAAATCTGTATCTCAAAAACTATTTGGTTTACCGAGCCTGTTATGATATTAAATTTTAGCATATTTAATCTAGTTAAAAAATGTATAGAATGTTTTTTGTCAAAAACATGCTCCTTTATGGTTATAATGAAAAATTAACAGTTTTTAGAATTTTCAAAAGTGATCAAGGGGGGGGGGCCTGAGGCCAAAAACTTGAAATTTGCATCTCAGTCACATCTCATACAAGAAAATAAAAATAAACCTTCTATCCCCATTCAATGTATCTTAAGATGTACAAGGTTACTAGGCTAATGCTGGATGTAATAAATATTATAAATCAAAAAACCAACAACGATCTACTCACGACGAAATCGCTTCTTCTTAATATTCCGCAATATGGGTTAACACAGATTTTACTCAAAAAGACTAACAAATATTTAAAATCAATTCACGGTCCACTTGATGATTACCTAACTCTTCTTTCCAGCCTTACTTCCTCCACTTTTACTTATATACAATTTTTCTCTATGAAATTCCGTTTTTCCCAAAGCCTGGAAAACATTTATCATATGCCTGTTGAACCAAGTTTCCTGCTCCTCATTCATCAGCTTCTGACTTCAGACCCATCTCCATTTTATTCAAACCATTGGAAAGAATAGTCCACTCTCAGTTTAACAAATTTCTAGAACAAATCTGTTTCCTCAATCCTTTACAATCTGTTTTCGACCCCAATCGGCCATGTTTAACAATTAGCTGCAGAGCATTATATCTCTTAAATGTCTTTCCCGATGATATTGGTCCCTGGCTGCAAACACTAGTTATGAAGTTCCTAACAGCATCGGATGCCGGAGACAAGCATCAGATTTGAGGTATACTGCTATTTTTTTTATAACAAAGGTGAACTAAATTCCCTATTCAAAGTCTCTATCTGTTGATTGTATCCTCATTAAAGGCCAGCAATCGTAGGAATGGACTCAAGGACAATTTTTTTTATTATTTTAGTAAACAAGTGTTATTTTTAGGGATTTAAATCTTAAATATTGAAAATGAAATGAGAAAAAGTTTATTTATTGCATATAATTATAATTTCTACATTATTTATATGTATGTTATTTATTTATTTATACATGTTAAATAAGCAAGGAGAAAAGTCTAAGATGAACTCTCAAGAGCTACTGCGTGACAGAAGCCCGAAGATGACTAGACAATGCATGTGCACTGTCCTGCCACAGCAGGAATATGTATCGGACACTGGGGGATGATACCATAGGGAAATAATTTTTATCAGTCTGGTACAGTTTTGGTCCCCAGCATCTGAAATTTTTTTATCAGATATAATGATTATTTGCGCTTGTATCTTTACATTTATCCAACTCCCATTTAAATATTTTTTAAAGTTACCATTTTAGAGACTTCGTAAGATAAACAAAATTTGAAACAACCCCGGCCGTTTGGTAGTTGAGACGAATATCGGACCCTGGGGACTGTAACCACAGCTAACCTGTTAAGTTTACTTTAGACCTCCAATCCTCATAAATTAATTATATTTAGTTCAAGTATGCCAATTTTTCAAAAATATTAAGTATAGTTAAAAAGGTGATAAATCAACAACCTAATTTTTTATACAATTGGCTATCTATTAATTGTAACAGCTAGGTTTAGCCAAAAATTTTCAGAACATAATTAATTCAAAACAATTACTTTTGCTAAAGCAAACTATAGATTTTGCACATTTATGGAATAAGCGCTGGCCGAAGCTTCCAAATATTGCAAGACAATTAAGACCACTTTAGAGAGTATTAGAACTTATATGGAAGTCTTGCAGATATAGTTTACAAATAAACTTTTAAATGCCTAGTTTTACAAATATTTCCAAGCCATTGCTATAAACCAGAGAATAACATTTTTTATCATTTTATGAAAAATGCATAACAAACTTCTTTAATGATATATAGACTATATGTACAGATAAGTTGTAAATTAATAAATTCATGAAGCCATTCAAACAGTCGAAATATTTATTATATTTACAATAAACAGAACTTTATACATAAACGTACTGAAGTGCTAACAAGAAAAGTACAAGCCTAGACAACACACGTAACATATATATATACATCAAATAACGGTTTAACTATAGTAATAACAAGGTAAATACACTGCAGTCAAATCAACAATATAATAAAGTCTAATTTAGATATGCTTACTAACAGTACTAAGAACATTATGAAAACACAAAACAATTGGTACAAAACAATATTATATAACAATTATCATACTCAGTCATAAAAAACGAAACAAGAATGAATAACTGGAAACTAGCTTGAAATGAAACTACCGCATTTTAAATCAAAACAATAATTTTAAACCAGAAAAAATAAAATACTCGCAGGTACTTGAACAAAAACGGATGTCTTGATCAAGAAACTAATTCAAAAAGTAATAACATAAGCAAAAGTATGAAAAATAAATAAATAAAAAGGAACATGTCCATGCTACAAAATTTTTAACATAGATATTTTGTAAAAATATAAAATTGAATTATTTACTCAATCTATGTTGCATACAATAAATAAATAGTCTTTAGAAAAATTTTACATTAAAAAAAAATCACTACACTGTATAAGTTGGCTGTCATCACCACATGTGAGTTTCTCGTATGTCACTGATAATGTGATTTGCTCTTTGTAAAGCCTAAAAAAAATAATAAAAATCAAATTTATAACAGTTTGTAGTTGAAGAAGCAATAAATTCTAGTAAGGTAACTTTAATAGCACATTTATTTAATTATGAGGAGCAAAATTAAATATAAACTATTATAATTTACCTTAAGCATATCACTAGCTTCTTTCCTCCGTTGAGCAATATGGGCTGATTCATTAAGTAACTCTTCAGCGTGATCAGATTTGTATAAATGAGTGACTAGTTCTGACTGCAAATTATCTTTTACATAATTTACAAGAAAATGCATCACAGCCTTTGGGACACTATCTTGTATGGATTTACGCACAATATAAAAGTAAGATTTTATTAATCTTTCTGTAAAAGATAAATAAAATAAATCAGTTACAACAACCTTAGAAATAAAAACAACAATCTATAAATATCTTAAATATATATCATTATAGCTTTGATCCACATAAAACTACTGAGATGGATATACAATGTAGATTATTTTAAACCTTAACACAGTGTATCATTTAACAAAAGCTAAGTGGACAAAAGTCAATTCGAATAATAGATTAATTGATGATCCCTTGAAAATTAACAACCCCTTATAGATCAATAATACCTAACCTAATATATAATTGGTAATAAAAATAATGAGTAATTAACAACAGATGTTCATCCATGTAAAGAAGATCAATCAGTATTTTATTTTTACAATGGTGAGATTGAGGATGAGTCACGTGATGATAATTATTAATACTGATTATTGATTGTATTGGGCAATTCAATTTTCTGTTCAGCAAGAAGTTAAATTAAAAAAATTGTTGCTTATGAGTGAATTTTATTGTATGATTTATGGTGTATTTAATTTTTTTTTTTTATTGGAGTGTTACCAATGGGTAGTTTCTCTTCATGTTGTACATATCATATTATCAATTTCAAATTAACTTGTTGTATTGGCAAACTAATACAGTTGTAAATTTTAATAAATATATTAATAAAAAATAAATGTATACAGTACTAAGTTTTTTATTTAACACACTATAAATGTTTTCCATGCTTCTAAAATAATAATCAATAAAACAACAAAATATAATTCACTATGATCATAACAATTAAATGATAGAATAAATTATTTTGGTCCACCTACCTAGTGCTAGGCCAAACAATATGCATTGGATCGACATCAAATATAATAAGTGAGGCCTACTGAATTAGTCATTTTAACTTAGATATAATTGAGACATTTTAATACCAATCAAATGCAATATCTTGACTCTTTCAAGGCAGTTTCTTTATGAATATTTTTAACATTGCTTTAAATGTTTTACAAGCAATTTTTTCCCATAAATTTCCAATCAATATGTTACGTTGTTATTGCAGTATTAAATTGAAAAACTTCTCCCTTTCAGGGAAATATTTTCAACAACTCATCAATAAACTCATTTACTAGTGATTTATCTTGGACTCAATAAATAGTCTCTTAGCATGAATAATGGAATAGTTCTATGAAAACAGTACAACAATAGGAAGGTTAGGATTTTGTATTTACACAGTAGGCAATGAAATGCAGGATGATCATATTAAAGATAATGTAAGGTTTTTTGGTTTTAAACGATGGAAACAGAAAACTACAAATTAAAAGACACCTTTAACTTAGTTAACCATCAAGAGACATTAAGAGCATGAAGGAATCCCAAATATATATCTAATGGAACTATTCATTAATTTTATACAAAGCTTACCAAACAAACAGCAACCTTTACACTAGGCAATCATAGTCTAAGTGCTAGGAAAAAAAGAGGATACTAGAAACTGTTAAAGGATGGTGATGGATTTTCAGATAATTCAGGAACTATGAATATTTTAAGACAAGTGATAATCAACGATGACTCCAAAGGTTTTAACAGTAGTTTGAAAGTGATCTATTAGAAGATATTATGGTAGAGTAAGAGATAGTGGCAACGACAATTAAGCAGGTTTTCTATAATGGCAGCTTCAGTTAATTACACTACCTAATGTGTAATTCACCTTGCTGATCACCTGAAGTATGGTTGAAGATATCAGTAGGTCATGAAATTTTAAATTGTAAAGTGAGTTTAGTGGGTAAAAATAATAAACTAAAGCATTAGGAATTGTATTTATACAGTTTAATTAAATTTTATAATAAATACAATAGAATCTCGCTCCATTAGACCAGGAGGTAGGTCAGAACGTCTAAAAGGTTGGATTAATTAGAGATATAAAAAATATGTTTTTCACATGTTTTTTTTTCCTTACACAACATACAATATATTCTATAACAAAATTAAATATATATATATATATATATATATATATATATATATATATATATATATATGTATATGAAACATATGCATAGCACAAATATAGTTTTAACAACTAAAAAAAGTTATTATTAATACATTACCAATTACAGCACATTCCCTTTGTTCTTTGTCCGTTAATTTTCTACCAGTACCAAATGAAGGATCAGATGAAAGAATTATTGATTTGGTTGGGCTGATGCTATGTTTTAATTCCTCAAAATGTGTTGGAGTTGATGATGCAGAAGTATTATTAATACCCAGAGCTTCTTCACCATTTCTTTCACCCATCAAATTGGGCAATCTGTTGTTGGTGTTATCTGATAATTCAGTACTATTTCGTAAAGGCTGGTTCTAAAAAAGAAAATACAGCCTGATATTGAACTACAATGCTACTACAGTATATCCATAAAATAATATTTTACATATAATACCAAAATGCAGATTGCAAAATGAAAAAAAAAAAAACTTGAATTAAAATAAACCTTTCTAAATTAAAAATAGTAAAATTAATTTATAAATTCAATTTGATATCCTTGCCATATAAAATATTTACAAACTCACTCTATGTAATTCATCATATGGAGAACCATGTTGTGCATTTCTTTTTGCTGATCTTAAATCATCATCTTCAACTGCCTCTAATAAAGAAGGTACTAACGCAGCCTCCTTATGAAAATCAGGATGTTTTGTATTAATATAAGCCAGCTCTATAGCTACAAGGTTTTCTACCTGCAAAAAAAATTAAATAACAGATAAATTCTATAAATTTAAGAATTGTGAAAAGCTAGGTATATTTCCCAACAATGCTTTATAGTTTGGTGCTCTGGATCAGTCTTGATAAGCACATTAATAAAATGACAACCTTGGAAATAAAAAAAACATCTGTGGAAAATCGAGGACAAATCTAGAATGGACTGATTACAAAAGATATGATAGGTGAATAATCAGACATATGACTCAAATATGAAATGGTCAAGGAGGGTGGTTTGGCCATATGAGTAAAATATCGGATGACTAAAAAGGCAGGTGGCTCTGCAAAGCTATAGGAAAATGACCATAAACCAGGTCAAGATTAACATACGATTGTACATTGTAAAACAGGGCAGCAAGAGGATCGCTTAATAAGGAAATGACATCAGTCGTTGACTAATGGACTAAGTATTAGAGATTTGAGAGAAGAACAAAATAATGTAATTAATTACATTTATTTTTTTTTTTGCAATAAATGCAAATGAAATAATTAAAAATCAAGTCTATTTACCATGGAATTAGTAGTTGGAAGCCGTCTTCTTAAAAGTTGTGTGACTACATCAATGATTTTTTCATGAAGTTTAGGAAACCTTAACATTTCTTGTTGAGACTCAGTCCCACAATGTTGAATAATACTTTGCATTTCTTCATGAACTAGTTCAACACAGCGTAGAGAAGGTTCTTCAAGGCGACGTATTTGTCTTTTTACAAGAAGTTCAAACGAAACCTACAAAAAAATATATATATAAATAATATATGATATGCATTTAGACTGATGGATATAATTAAAGCATCACTTAGCTTATTTGGTTATAAACTAAGTGTTTCTTTATCATAATTTTATCAAAGTCCTCATAAATATGAGTTGTTTTAGTTAAAATAAGCTGCAAACGTTTTAATCACTTTTGTACATCATTTTCAGTATCATGTCCTTTCATTCTGCTATGCTTGTAGTTTTTAGGGTTATAGTATTAGAGTATTACTAGAGGAAGAGAATTACACCTTCCAAATAATAAACTAATAAAACAGATGCTAATGAGAATAATCTATTGTACAAATATAATTATCACTTATATCTGTATATATGTAAAGTAAATGCCCATTCATAGTTTCCTTTAATTAGGAAGATTAGTATGGTGTGGCATTATGCTTTGAAGATCTAATGGTTAAGAAACAACAATGCCTATAAAATCAACAAACATACCAAAATAAATAATACCAAATTTAGAAATACAGAATAGTAATTAGACCTTTCCACTAAACATTGGTAATAAAAAAGAAAACAATTGATACAATTAAGTAATGTAAATTAATGAAAAACCTAGTAATCACAATAACCTCTGGAACGAATAGAGCTGGTCTTGGTCCAGTAGCATTCCTTATAGCAGTTAAAACATCTCTTTTAGTAAGACCAGCAAGGGGGTGAATTGAATCAAGCGTTTTTCCGAATGTTTCATGAAAAATATAACAAATCCTTGCACCACCACATCTGCAAATATATCCAGCTATAAAATACACATGTTAAGTATAAATAAATATTAAAAAAAAAAAAGGCAATAACAACATTGTAAGATAGTGAAAGGATGAACAAAATAAAGCAATCTGGAGCAATAATAGTTGAAAAGCAATCCACTGTACCATTTTCATTGATATTTTTGTCAGCTAAATAACCATAAGTATGCTATTTTCAATAATGTCTTTGAGTAGCTCATCTCATTGAAGTATTATAAGGTCAGGATAAAATGAGGGCTGCTTCAAGAGCAGAGTTGTTGCCTAAGGCACTAAGTTCTTGGTTATATTATTTTAAAATTAGGATCCAAATTCCTTGTATTCAATTTTGTTTTAAAGTAAGTAATGGATATAAATATAAATTTGAAGTGGTTTTTTTTTTTTGCGGTTGATTCTCATTAAGAATAAAATTACATTTGATTAGTCAAATGAAATCATAAGATTGAAACATTACGCATAGTAAAAATGTTGGCTACTTTTAATAAATGACCATTGAACTTCTTTAGAAAAATAAATTAAATTAAGATGGGCAGAATCAGTATCTATGGGCATCTTATTTCACCTTTGCTCTAGGCACTATTCCATATACTACCCTTCTAATGAAAGGTAATCAGACAAGCAAAATGTATCAATCTTGGAAATGGTTTACTAAAAAAAAAAAACTTTTAGGCATAGAATAGTGATATTTAATTTCAGTGCTCAAGAATATGATGGCATCCTTTATAAAGTTTGGGAGGGATATAGATTTATGGCAGTCATACATCCATACAATACGTATGATCCCTTAGATGCTATCCTAAAATTGATAAGTTATTCAATATTGGATCATTGGGGACTAATGCACCATCCATACTTGGCAAGGTACTTACATTAAACTTGAAATGTTTTGAATGGTTTGAAATGGTGTTAACTACTTAAATTAGAAAAATAATTTTCTTACTTCTGTTAAAAACATCCTCCAATTATCTGCACCATATATTAAAATTAAAAATATCTTTAAACTATGGTTAATAAAGTTGGCAGTCAATCCATAAAATTAAGCAATAGTATCACAACAGTTAAAATGAGGAAGCAATATTGTCTTAGTAAAGAATGAATCCCTTAAAAAATAATCATTGCTGATCTGATGTTGAATATTGGTGGAGTAGGCCATTAAGAGGTGGGTGGGAGCATGTTAAGGCTGATCTTGGGGATTTTGATTTTGATGTAGTTATATAGGCAACAATCGCTATTATATTCGGATCGAAGAAGGATGAGTTAACTGGAAAGTTTAGATGGTTACACAATGCCAAATTGTGTGAACTATATCCGTTTAATATAATTGAAGTCATTACATTGCGGCAAATCAAATGGGCTTGTACAATTGCTGGGCTTAGTAACAAAAGAATTCCTAAAAGATTAATATTCGCTGTACCGAATGGTAAACGTCCGAAGGGTAGACCGAAGCGAAGGGTGGAGGGAGGTATGTAATAAGCGATTGGTGGTGTCGGCATTGAACCTTCGGGTTCGATAAGCCTTTTATCATTATTATTGTAAGCACTCACTAACTAGCTAATAGCATAAATAAATGAGTTACTTACAGCTCAGTAGTTTCAATGTTTCTTGATGTACCTTCTATTGTTGAACAATAAGCAGATGCAAATTTTGTGATAATCTGTAAAAGTGTCTGGCTTTTATCAGATACATCTTCACCATATGAATTCAGGAGGGCTTGGAATTGAGATACCATAACATTCACTCTAGTCTATAAGCATAAAAAAGAAGCGGTAAGTTAGACATGTTATACATACATAGATAAAATTATAGATCATATCACTGGAGAGAATACACAAAGAGCAATCATACAAAATATCAAAGCAATATAGCTGTTTTGTAGAATAGAATAGTTAATCAAACTTAAGTAAACTAGTGAAACAGCACCTTCCCACAAAACATGCCTTCACCTTTCATCTACCACATCTTCCACCGGCTTCCCCTCAAAAATGTATTCAAACAAAAAAAAAAAAAACATGAAATAAAATAATAATAAATTTCTATAACCCTCCTAAAAAGCAACAGACTAACTAGTGATTTTATGAAATAATTAATAACTTTAATATCATTATTAGAAAAGACTATTGTTTTGTTGAGAACGCTAAGTGAAAAACAACAGGAGACTTTTGTCACAACGGGATGGATTATCACCTCTTTTTATCAATCTTCGATAGTTAACAAACTATAAATTAAGAGCATTACATCTTATCACTTTAAATAATTCTATTCTGGAAAAATAAATATAATAATAAAAAGATTAAAAAAGTAAATGAAAATTTAGAAATTCTTAAAAAATGAAGAGTAACAAAAAGATTTCCAGTCAATAAAAATGTAAACATGCTTTACAAAAACTAAAACCCATTATTTAAAAAACATACTAATTAATTTAATGTATATGTTATATTAGTTTTGTGATATACTCTAATAAAAAAACATTGTGATTCTTGATTAGTTATGGTTATGTTTATCTTCAATTACTAGTTATTATTAAATTTAAAAAAAAAATTAAAATAAAACTATATAATATAAAAGAAGTAATTATTTAACATATCACAGAGAAATTGTTAATAAACAAACCTTCAAATCTGGTAAACAATCTCTTATATGATGCATTAACAGCCTGTTCAATGTTTTTGCCAAATAGGGAGTTCCATTCCTATTAGCTAATGTAGGGTACTTTTTCTGAAGGTACAGTGCTTCATCTTTCAAAGCATCCTCAATATTCTAAAATGAATTTTAAAAAAAATTATTAAAGTATAAGCTTTAGCCAACACATTATTCAACTAAGTATTTATGGAAAGAAGGTGAATCAAATATAAAAGGTAATATATTACTTAATATGAGAGCTAGGTGATGGATGGATAGCGAGTTGTGAGGTTGTGAGGAGAGGGAAACATGCTCAGTAAGCAATTCCACTTTATCTGTCTTAGTAAAGCCATGTGACCAAGCAGGAATTGCATCTGCCATTATCATAACAAATAATCATAAAGTTTTAAACCAATCAAGGTGTTAAATGCCCATAACATTTTACTAGTTTAAAGACAGTTCGGAGACTTCCATTCCAGAATTGAGTGTATATGTGAGACGGAAAATTTTACAAATGACAACATTTGTGTTAATGAATATGATTCAAGATTCACTGTAGAAGAAATCTTGACAGAACTGGAAATCAGCTTTGAAAGTGCTTATTCAATTATCAATGATTGAACACTTTGGCTTTAAAAAACTCTATGCATTTAACGCAAGCTGTTAACTGAAAAATAGAAAAATGTCAGGTAAGTGATCATTGAAAAACTTATGAAAGACTTCAACAAGAGAGGCATTATCATATATGATTAGACATGGGCCCACCATCACACTTTTGAGTGGAAGATGGCTAGTAAGGAGGGGTTAAAGAGGGATAAAGGCAAAAACATCTCAGCTCAAAAAGTTTTAGCAATGATTTTCAAAATAATTAACAAAAAGTAAATGTTTTTTACTATTAGCAGTTATACTGGTCAGAAAAACCATCAACCGAAATGAAAGACAAAGTATGCCCATTATAGATTTCATTTTCTTCCAAGACAACAGGCCTCACATGTAATCTTGAACTAAGATAAATAGAAAGAAATGGTTTCTGTTGAATTTTGATATTTTTCTTTTAACATTAATAAGATATATGGCAACTGTATTTTAATTTATTTCTATTTTATACATATACAAATTTCTTTAAAAAGGATGGAGATGGTCCATATACATAGGGGTGGTGGTCATAAAAAGGCTAAATAGTGGTAAAACTATTTTTATTCAAAGCCGACGTTTCCTAGCTGAACACTACTCCCTGAAGAAGACCGACAAAGTCGGGTCGAAACGTCGGCTTTTAATTAAAATAGTTTTACCACTATTTAGCCTTTTTATGACCGCCACCCCGGACCATCTTCTTCCTTTATAATGCAACGGTCAACTATTAAATATTCAATAAATTTCTTTAGTAATCACTTCCTATTCAACAAAAAAGATGACTTAGATAAAAAAACACAAAAATTGGATCTTCGACTTTTCTGCTGAAAATTGACCCATTGTTTATATGAACAATATAACATAAAATTTATATATATATATATATATATATATAAAGTATATATATGAATTCAGCATGATATAATTATAGTAATAATAATTTATAAACACTAACAAATACACACACACACACACATTTACATTTTAAATTAATGCAATTTATATTCTCTGTATCTATTCTTGGTTTATATAGTTAATACTCTTAAAGCAATAACTTTTTTTTTTTATTATTTCTTAATGATATTTACAACTGTATTAAAGAAATACATTTAGTAAATTTGAACATATGGATATAATGAAGTGAAAACACTTGAGTAACTACCCAATGGTATGTATACATTAGGAGATCACAGGGTCATCTTCTTTTCAGACGCCTCGGAGGGTTATCAGGAATTGAAGAGGAAGCAAGGTTAGAAACGAGAGGTTTGGGATGATTCTGAAGTTTATTATGGAAGGATAGGTATCTGGATTGGGCCAGATCTGAAACATAAGAAACATTAAGGTCATTATGGATGGTTTTATTTGTAACAAAGTAAGGAGCATTATGGATTTTATGAAGGATTTTCGATGGTTTAGTGGAGTCCCATAGCTCAACTCTGTAAGTCCAAATAGGCCATATTACAGTCATGTATATGAGTCTTTTGTAATTAATTGGCAGTTTAGAGTGTTTGTATAGATAGTGCTGAAGTAATTGGACACGTCGAGCAGTTTTTTGTCGTTTCAGTCTGGTATGAAAGAAATAACTAAATACATAATAATAACTTTACCTTTTTATCTAAAATATCTTGTTGAGATCGATTAACTACGCCAATTATTCCTAACTTAACAGGGATCACTCTTCCACAGAGTATATCAATAGCATCAGTGCCTAAATATCAAATTAGAATTATTTTTGGTACACTAATAAAATGTTTCAATGAGCTTTATTGACAACTATAAACTAAATGATTACTAGAGACTGGATTTTCGTGCAGTAAAAAACTCAAAATGTGCAAAATCGTGTAGAAAAAACCTAAAATATTTAAAATTGTGCAATTAACACCTAAAACACAAAAATCATCTATTTTGTTTAATTTATTATATTAATACATCGAAATTTGATCAAACCGAATAAAATCTGCAATAACATGGAAATCTGGTCTCTAATTAATATAATAAATTAAACAAACTAGATAATTTTTTCAGGTTTTTATGTGTTAATTACACAATTTTACATGTTTTGAGTTTTAATAACACGATTTTGCACATTTTGCGTTTTTTACTGAACCTTTTTCAGTCTTTAATGCAAAAAAATCCAGTCTCTACTGATTATAATCATAATAAGTTATATTTATATAATATATCTAACAGTAATATTTTACAACAGAATTAACTGAAAAAATAATTATTCTCTATGAATAACAAGGATTTTGAGGTAGTAAATAACTTAATTATCTACTTAATTTAAGATAATTAAAGTATCATAGTACAGATATTTAAAAATTAAATGTAAAAAAAATCTAGAATAGGAATAAAAAATGACAATCCCCACATATATTATTACAGTAAGGCTCGAATTAGGTTTTGTACTAAATATAAGCTCCTGTCATGTTCAAATGCCATGAATGGGATACCGTTGGATTCAGGGTTTCAAGGGGGGTTAGCGAATCGTATTCTCCACTTTAGTTTTACTTTCTTAAATAAATAAAGTCGATACAAACATTTTGTTAGGCTTCAATACTGGAACGGTGGTAAGTCTGTAGATTGATACAAATTGGGCTTTGAAGATTTTGATACGTACAGCAAGAACCGGACAGTTCCGAAGGATCCTGCGCTTTTAAGCCCAAAAATGTAATATTTTTGAGAAAACGCAAGGCATAGGGTTCGCATCCACACAACCTTATGGTAATTGTAATACTGTCATTGAATATAAGTCTCATTTTGTCGACTTGAGGCCTCTATGATCGAGAGAGGAGGAGTTTATATTATTTGTCGATGGCGTTTTTAATCGGCAAGCCATATCATTGTTAATGCTTCACCAAATCTCAAGATTGAGTCACCCATTTCGAATTCCTTCTCCTTCAGGGGGGCAAAATACTCTAATCAGCCCGAAAATTCAGGCAAACAAATTATGTAAGAAAACAAACTTCATTTGTGAATAACTAAAAAAATTACACACTTTTCCCTTATATAAAATACTACTAAATTCCCTACAAAAGGGAAAAAAAAATCATTGAAATCGGACTATTTTTAGCAAAGATACAGCTTATTGAAATTTGTAAACATGTTGGTTCCAGACATTAATGAAGATTTAAATTAATTTTGGTTTCCTTTGTCGATTATATTTATCGATAAAGTAACAATTGATTTCTTTATCTTTTGATACGTTGCATTATTTTATTTTCTTATTAATTTGGCATTTGATGCCAATCATCATTAATAAGGCATATGCTGTGCGAATTTTTCACACCGGCCTACTACTACTTTAAAAATTGTGTAAAAAGAAAATACCTGCATCCATTAAATCTAGTTTGGTAACAACAGCTAAAGTTCTTCTGCCATCAGGGTCAACATCTTTAGCGATCTTGAGGCTTTCACTAGTGGCCATATCAGTATTAGCAGTAACTACTGCAAGAATAACTGAATTTGGGTTACTTATATACTGATGAACTATCTGTTTGATCTGATGTTCAATGTCTTCAGGCTGGTCCCCTACTGGAACCTAAATAATCCACAAAAAATAACATAACAATAAAAAATTGATTTATGATAGGAATATATTTAATAAAGAGAACAAATTATTAACAATTAGAATTTTTCAAATATCTGGGTACTAGCACAAATTTTTTTAATGCAAATTTGGAAAGAAAATCAGCTTTACAGAAAAGTGGTGGGGACAGAATGACGTCACGAGAGTGGAGACATCAGGGCTGCTGTCAGCGCCCAGCTCCTACTACAGGATTTTCAATACTTTCTTGATTAGAATAGTGTTTTCAGTATGAAAACTCACCTAAGAAATATATTTCTATTTTTCCTTTCACATTGTCATCTCGGTGTAAAAATATTTAGTCTAGAATGTATTTCATGAACTTTTATAAATAAATAAAATAAACTAGGCATAAAAAAATGACCTTTTTATCAAATTCAAGATTTCAAAGGACTGTAAATATTTTAATCCTATCAATACTTAATAATCCTTTAGGGGGTGAGGTGGCCGAAAGGGCTAATGCGTGTGCACAGCACCGCGAGTTGCCTGGCAGATGACCTGAATATACGATTGAAAAAAAAAGTACGAGTTCACGTCTTGGTGCCAGAGGGGATTTTAAATTCCCCGCCCTCACCCTCTGGCCAGGGAAAATCTCATATAGCCTAAAAGGCGAGGTAGGGAAAAACAGAAAGAAACAAAAACACTTAATAACCCCTTTAGAGCATTCTCCAAGCTTGTTTAATCTCATTCTACTTCTTAAAAAAAAAGCCTCAGTTTAGTTATTTGTATCAAAGAAGAAACATGACAGTGTCCTACGAAATTCTCGTAATTTTAAGACATTACTGGAAAAATTGTTTACAACCGCTGAAGCAATTCATGAAATTATTAAATGTCCTTGACCAGCACACTGCACAGCATTGGAAAGGAAGAAAGGCTGCAGGCGTCGATTCATAGATATTGATGATGTTCTGCAGGAAGCTATTGATTCAAGTCTACCCACAAGTACTCTTGAACTTGCCATGGAGTGTGGTGTGTCGAAAGATACTATTAGTCACCATCTACTGTCCATGAGAAAGGTGAAAAGCAGTAGACTGGTCCCTCACGAACTAATTCCTCAGCAATCAGCTAAGAGGTTAGATATTTGTGAAAATTGATTGAAAACTCTTCTGATATGAGATTTTACTGGAAGGTTGTCACCTGTGATGAAAAGTGGGTTTACTGGCGAAATCCGAATTCCCATGTGCAATGGATAGATCGCGGTCTAACTGCTTTTCCGGTTTTTGCCAGGGAGCAATTTTTAAAAAATACATGCTTTACGTTTTTTGGTATTTTGAAGATGTTATTTCTTTATTTGTTCCTGGTGGATGCTCTATGAATTCTGAACTCTAATGCGAACAACTGGAAAGACTGTACACAAAGTTGTCAGAGCGTGATCCTGCTTTGATCAACCGATAAGAAATTTTATTCCAACAAGATAATGCTCGTCCTTACACTTCCAGTCAAACTAAAGAAAAGTTTAAAGAACTTCATGGGTTCAAACTCCTGCCACATCCACCATATAGTCCAGACCTCGCACCATCAGATTACTACTTAGATTCATGGCCCATTTTCTTCAAGGGAAAAATTTTGCGGAAGTTGAAATTCCCGTCCAAGAGTACTTTGATAGCCATCCCAAAGAATGGTATCAACGTGGGATCGAGCAATTGGCTAGCAGATGGCTAATGATGGTAGATAATAATGGACTATATTTGAGTACTAATTGTATTTTAACCAATATTTGGTTGAAAAGCGGTAATTTTTTTTTATCACCCTATTATTATATACATTTTTTCCCATTATCTCATTGTCATTTAAATTAAAATAACTGAACTATTAACTCAATAAACCTAACCGAATAAATTGAAAATCTATTCCTTGTGACATAATAAAGATAAAATAAGGAATTTTTTCGAGCTTATAAACTGAAGTCAAGCTCCTTTAAGACCAAACATGAGAGCCAATGGTCCCACAAAAATACAAATGGTCGCACTGTCCTAAAACGTCGTCCAAACATGACGGGTCGATTTCTTTGATTTAAGTTGGTTTATCGGTCACTGAGATTCAGCAGTTGGCTTAATTTTGTCAAAATTGGTATATTATTAAAGCTGGATAGTCAGAGAATAATAAAACATTTAAAAAATTTTAAAGCTAGTTGGCCTTGGTAATAAAAATTACCAGTAGTCAATTCTTTCAAATTAATGCTGAAAATCAAGCGTCATTTGTAATTAAATGGTCAATAATAACAAAAAACGCCTTGGGATAAAACATCTAGAAAATACATTCCTCTTTCTTCTTCCTCCTCATTCCTGAAAGCAGCACTGGCGTAGGGCCAACGAAAAAGATTGAACGCAATAAATGACTAAGGTCATTCTAGCTCACTTATTTTATCAATTATTTGCAGCTCTTATTATTTATAGCCATTCTTATATTCATGTATTCTACTCCTTCAAAATAATGACTTAAATAAATGTTTACTTCTCTAATTGTTATAAAGCAGGTTATTTAATGTTTGTTATAGACAAACATGAAATGAGCTTAACATTTTCAAGTTTCAAACATTTCATTCGCTTCATTTACTATTTTGGTACTTGATGTAAATGTTGGTTAAATATTTTTTTATTTCCATTTCAGCCATCTGGTTGTGAAAAGTAATCTCCCCCTCTCCCACTAAACCTCCCCTCCTTCAAAATGTTAAAATGAATAAAAATTTACTTCAATGAATCATATGAGATAGGTTATTGATGATATAATGTTATGATATAATATAATTACAAGTGCATATGATCAAATAGGAAAAATAGCTTAAAATTTTCAAGTCCAAAAATTTTCTAAAATTTGAAAATCTCCATTTTGTAAACTATTTGATACACTGAGCCTGTTCCCGTGTTATATTCTGGCATATTTAAACTTCTTTATAACTGTATGGAATGTTTTTTGTCGAAAATGAGCTCCTTCATGGTCAAAATGGGCAAATACCGAAAAAAGTGCGAAATATAGCAGTTTTGGGGGTTTTAAAAAGTGATCCCGGGGAGAGGGGTGAGGTTGAAAACTTGGATTGTGCATCTCAGTCACATCCCACACAAGAAAAAAAAAAGAAACCTTCTACCCTCATTCGATGTAACTTAGACCCTCTTTTTCATGATGTTACTGGACAAGTGACTAGCTTGTCTCCTGTTTAACCTTGCCCTGGAGATTTCAGTAAGAAGATCTCATGTACAAGTGGGAGGAACTATTTTGAATAGATCAACGCAGATATTGATTGGGCTTTGCTGATGGCCTAGACATCATAAATAGATGAATTGCAGCCACAAGGGATGCCGTACTCGACCTTGAAAAAGGAAGCAGTTAAAATTGTCATATCTTATTCTAGGCAACATGTCAGACAAATCCCTACATACATTGTATCTAAACAGCACAGACTGACTGAATTCCCTGTTAGGGTCATATGTCATATGAGGTGAAATAAACACAGTGGCTCATTGCTCATATGTGGCATGATCATTCACCCTCTCATCTTTTGGAGCATGGTAAGCATGCTCCTTCAGCAGTGTATACCTGGCTTTGAGTACTTACTCCAAATAGGGTAGGAAGTCAGATGGAAATCCTTATCATTAAAAGCAAAATATGTCTTGTTTAAGGGTAGAAAGATTTCATGGTAATTTTTTTAAATTTCATGAAAACCAAGATTCATTAGTTTAAATTAGTGAATTCCTCCCACAGTATAAACCATTTCTAATATGATAATTGATATAAAAATATACATACCTTTGTTATGCCAGGTAAATCAACTAATGTAAGATTCAATACTTTTGGAGAAAATATTTTCAATATAATTGGCTCTGAACAAATAGCTTTGTTATGTCCTGCCATTCGGCCTGTCTCTTCTTCAATTTCTTTTCTGACTTCATCAAAATCTGTAAAAATTTTAGATTTCTTATGTAGAAATTGTGCCCACTCCTCAACGTTTGGTAGTGCTCCTAAAAAAAAAAGAAGAGAAACAATATCTCACTATAAAGTAAACTAATAAGAAACAAAATTTGAAATTTAAAAGTATATCATAAAAAAAAAATTATGAAATAAAAACAAGTGGTCTGTCAGCAAAACATTTGTCGGTAGGTGAGGAGAGCTTAATCATCCTCCCTCCTTTTCAGTGCCTTTAATACATTGATATCTTGTTGTGAATTATCATTACAATTATCCTTAGTCTTGATGTTTTTTTTTTTAATAAAATAAAATAATAATTCTAAAGTTTTTAATTAGTTGAGTTTTATAGAATTAAAAAAAAGAAGATAGATTTTTACTTCATAAGAGCAGTCCATAGAGATATTTTAATGAAGTGAAATAGAGGAAAAGAGGAGCATGAGTAGAGGGGATTGGATGTTGGGCTGATGTACTTTTCTCCCCACTCACTATCTCATTGGCAAGCTCGTGTGGCAGGATGGCCGAGTGGGAATATGTAAGTGCACAGCACCGTGCGTTGCCCAGCAATCTGATAATTAAATTTAGACGGAAAAATAGTACAAGTTCAAATCCCGATACCTGGTGGGAATTTTAACTCGGCATGATTTTCACGTCCCCTGCCCCAAACCAGGAAAAAATGCGTGTAGCCTAGAGAAAAAAAAAAAGTTCTACACATCATTATTGAACAAGAGTTGTGAGATGGCTATTAATAAATTAATTAATGTTTGTATGATGGTAAAATCCTTTCCTATAAGTGGCAGAAATCCGATCACTGGGTGATACTAGTTCAAACTTAATTTATAGTATAAAGAATAAACTAGCTTACTTAAATATAACTGAAATAAACTTACCATTATCCAAGGTTCTTTTCTCTTTGTCATTTAAAGGACAGTAGTTTAACTGTAAAACTAAAGGTGTTCTTGTTACTATACCAGTGCCCCTAGGAAGAAATGATTTTCCCACTAAACTTTCTATGACAGAACTTTTTCCAGAACTCTAAATTAAAAACAAAGTAAAATAGTATACAAATAAATTAACAAATCTCAGATTAGTAAGTATTATTACAGCTACTTAAATTACTTAATATGTGTTCTAATATGGAAACTACAAAAATAAGTACTGTAACTATTTATAAATCAATTTGAATATTGTATATAGTCTCCAATAAACCTTTCCAACTGATATATAGTTATAAAGAAACACTGAAACGCTTATAACCCCCAAATCTATTTTTCCTTTCATCCTTCTGAGCTACTAGTCGCGTTCGCCAATATTCAGACAGACCTAGATAGGATCAGTGCCTGGGCAAATCTGAATAATTTAAATCTAAACGCGATGAAAACTCAGGCCATTATTATAGGTTCCAATTTTATTCTTAAATTCATCTCCTTCCTTCCCCCTTTAGTCACCAACGATCATCCCGTCACATTCAGCTCCTCTGTTAAAAACCAAGGAATCACCATAGACGAAAACCTCTCCTGGAAACCCCATATCGCCCTCATCTCCCGTAAGTCAATAGGTGCCCTCAAGCTATTTCATCGCTCCCGCCACCTACTCCCACAATCCATCCGTAAGCTCCTTGTATCCTCTCTTATTTTCCCCCACCTTGACTACGGCTGTGTGGTGTACGGAGGCATCTCGACGGTACTCGAGGATAGATTGAAGCGACTCATGAATACCTGCTTAAGATTTGTCTTCGGTACATCGAGGCGGTCTCATGTGTCCCACCTCTACGATAAGTTAAAGTGGCTTTAACCTTTTTAACCCTTCTTTCCGCAAACAATATTTCCTTGGATCTTTCCTATTCCAAACAATCAACACCCGACACCCTTCCTACATCTACAGTTCAAACCCGTGGTACACTCCCAGAAAACAAGATCCCGTGTTTCCGACCTTTATATCCCTTTCCATAGAACTAAGACATTTGAATATTCCTTTATTGCCCGATCCACTGCCTTCTGGAATTCCTTGCCATCTGATATCCGCCATGCCTCTTCCTTGTCCTCATTTAAATATCATCTCTACCAATTCCTTCTCACATGAATCTACCTTTATTACAATAAAATTCATGTGATATAGAATATGTAGAGTGTGCCAGAAGGAAATGTAAATAATTAAGGGGGCATAGTTTAGTCTGATTTACACCAACCACACATTCATATCTTAATCTGTTGTCAAGATTAACATTTTATACAAGAACTCTTTTCGGAATCCAAGATGAATTATTTTTGGTTACCTTCCATCTAGTTGGAGAGGATCTGAATTGCACTTTATACTAAAATCTGAGAAGGGAACGTATGATAATCCCAAATCCTTCAGGCTGATATGTATGTCATCTTTCCAATTGAAGACTTAGGAAAAGATTTTGGGCAGGCACATAACAGAACATTTATTGACCTCAAATTTTTACACTTAAATCAATTTGCTTACCAACTTGGTAAATCGAGCGAGTCAACTTTACATAACTTGGTTTCAAGCATTGAAAGATTCATAAATCCGAAGGAAATAACAATTGGCACCTTTGTTGACACCTTTGTGCCTTCAATAGGACTAAGGTCATCATGGACTCTTTGAGGACAAGGAAAATTAATTCATTGGTTACTAAATGGATCTCTAAGATGTTGAAGACCAGAATTCTTGGCCACACTGAACTGTGGATTAAAGAGGAGGCTATCCACAGGAAGGTGGGCTCCCTCTAATACTGTGGTGTCTGGTGGTAGATTCACTGCTTAATGCACTAAATAAGGCAGGCTTTAGTGCGCAGACAAATGCGGATAATATCGCTATCCTTATTGGTGGAAAATATCAGAATGTTCTTTCTGACCTATGGAACACAGCGACAGGCATCTTAGGGAAATGGTGTCAATCTAAAGGACTGAGTGTCAATCCAACTAATATAAATGTGCATATCTTCAATATGAAGAAAAAGGTGGCCATAAAGCTTCTAAAAATAAATGGCATTCAGCTAACCTCTAATTTGCAAGACCTCTTTGGAGGTGAAGCACCTAAGTGCTACACTGGATAACAAATTACAATGGAACAGTCATGTGAAGAACACAACTAACAAAGCACTGAAATACCTGTGGACTTGTAAAAATGCTGCAGGGAAATCATGGGGCTTAAATCATCAATGGTCAACAGGCTATATGTTACAGTGGTTAGACCGATGATCTTAGATTCAGCAGAGGTCTGGTGGCAAAGAGCAAAAGTTGGTTACAACAGGATACAGCTTGAAAAACTGCAAAGATTAGCCATGCAGCTGAAAATTGAATAACAGGCCTGGAAAACTTTGGGGTGGGAGAGGGAGGAGGGGAAATACACCCATGAAGGATACTGGAAAATATTTCAAAGAGTTGAAGAAGATGGGGTGCTTCTAATGCATTCTGACACTCAGGTCAAAGAATCGCTGATAAGAAACTATGTCAATATTGATACTTCAGGTAAAGATAATGGAATTAATTGTTTCACTGATAGCACGCTAATGACCTATGGCTCTGGTGTAGGCTTCTGGAGGAAGGACAAACCAGAGGAGGGTATGTCTATATCATATGGCGAATAAGTAACGGTAATCAAATCTGAAATACTGATGATATCTTACTGTGTATCAAAGTTGTTGCTTGGTGGGTTGGATAGCAGAAGATTTCTATTTTTACAACCAGCCAGTTGGCAATACTAGCACTGAGCAAGTATACAACTAGATCTAAAGCCATTAAGGATTACTTCATAATCCTTAACAATTTACATATGTTCAATAAGATAACTATTGAATGGGTGCCAAGTCATTCTGGTATTACTGGTAATGGCGGATGAATAGCCAGAAAAGTTTCACAAATAACTCCCATAACACCAGAACCAATTTGTGGAATTAGCATGTGTCTAATCAAAAGAAGAATAGCATAGATTTATGGTGCATAAGCTAAGAAATACTGGGGTTCTAAACAACAGACTCATTCTAAGCTATTCCTGGATAGGATCTGCACAAAATGAGCTAATCTTTTAATTAACTTGAGCAACAGTTCTCTTAAGAAATTTTCTTACGACCTCTACAGAACACTGTAAACTGAATCATCATATGTTCAAACTCGGACTAGTGGAGTTATCTCGTTGTAGATTCTATGGTGGTCGGGATGATGAAACAGCTTGTCATATTAATTATTGTAGCAACAAGTTCGTCAGGTTAAGATTCAGTCTATTCGGTAATGATTGAGTGCTGGATCCAAAGATCAAAAAACTTGTCAATCCAACAAGCCTTCTTCAATTTGCAGATACTGCCGGAATAATGCTCTGATTAAGAGCAACATTAATTAGGGCACACAATAAACCTTCATGGTCGCGGTGCTTCTTGCCAAGAAAAAAAAAAATCTATTATGAATATCTTATAAGATAGGAACTAATTCAAAGGAAAATATCGCTTCTTCAAACTGTCACAGCGTAATAAGTAAAAATAAATAATTTTTAGAAATACTCAGTAAAATCTCAAGCAATTATTTTTAAAGCTACCACATTTATTTTATTTTAAAAAAGTTGCTTCATTTTATCAGCTTCTCAAAGGTATTACCCAACATTATGAAGTAGTCTGTCATACAGATATTGAAATTTGGAGATTACGAAATGTTAAATACTTGCAAAACTAAGAGTACCTACTATTTTTGTACTAGTGTAATGTGTCCGAAAATTCGGCCACCAACTGCCCCCAACCATTGAAAAAAAATTAATGGTGTATGAAGCTCACGGTAAAGCCTTAATAAGACCATCCTTTTGCACAGTTTCTTTGTCAGCTCCAGTTTCTACCCAAAATTGTATACCATTAGGATTTTTTTTAACAGATATTTTTATTTTTCATTATATTGTGATGTAAGTACACCTTAATGAGAATTCATTTATGTATTTTATTATCTTTGTTTCCGTTTGGATAGAAACCATAGTTAGTACCATGTATGATTTTGCCAATATACACACTTATTTCTACTTGGTAAGGTAATGTCTTATTATTGAAGAAATAATAAAAAGCATTCCAAATGTTTTCTGTAGTAATTTACTCTCCATTCTTATGTGCGATATAAAAAAACCAAGAGATAAGAATATATTTAAATACATCATATCTAGGCAGGGAATTGATAAATAAATGTGCCGTTGAAAGCGCTGAACTACATTTTTGGAAAACTAAAAACATAAATAGCCATTTTTTATGTGATATCCATAAACACCAAACGTTAGAAAAAAAAAGTTTGTAAAAGAAATGATAAACAAATATCTCATTAATCAATATTCATAACTTAATTACATTGAATCATAGTCTAAACATAAATTTTTGTTCCTTATTTAATTGTATTACATTTTTTTTAAAAAAGTTTAGATTAAGTTCAACCAGCAGTCAAGTTATGAGTGATCAAAGTGGCCCATTTTTAGAAATTAGTAAGGGTTCAAACTTCTTAACACAAAAAAAAAGAAGAGAAACACTAAACCGAGACGTACATTATTTATAATGTTGATTTATATAAAATCAAAGATAACTTAGTTCCTACACGGAAAAAATCTATCATGTTTCCACTTAAAGTAAAAATAAAAATAACTGACTGTTTACACCTATGCGAGTTTTTAGCAACCATATCACGTTGTTTTAATGTCATTGAATCAACTGTACGATCCACCAAGAAATCAGAAGACAAAATGAGGAATTCTATAGCTTCAACCTCATTATCACCAAACATTGTTACAGTTATTGAAAAATGGAAGCTGCATAAATTTTTATGAAATGAAGACTGCGGCCAGAAAAGAGTTACTTTAAGTGGTACTATATTCCATGAGAAAACATAGTATCTTTACCTGAACATATGCATGAAAGTCACTTTGCTTTCTCATGGATTATAGACAGCGAATGACTATGTGCTGTCACCACAGTCGAATTGAAAGAACTTTTAAAATTAGTCAAAAAAAAAAAAAAGAACAAATTACTAAAGTCCTTAAATCATTACCTAGTCTGTAAATAATTATTAATATTGTTTAAAAAGTCTGATATTAAACTGCTTTTATTATATATCTTTTCATATTATCAAGTAACCCAGGAACATATTACCTATAGTAAGAATACCACAGTATTCAGTTTCAGTATTTGTCACATATTTATTCCCCTAAATAAGGATCATAGGCTGAGGCTATTTGTTGGTAAATCAAAATCTTTAAAGCAACTAATTGTGAAATAAATATTAATTACCCCATCATTAAAGTGTCTTCCTTTTAAGAGTAGGTTATACCCTAATATTATGCTGTGTAATCCATCAGAGTACAAGTATCTTTATTTTGATATTTATTTCCTCAAAAGAGACAAAATTTTGACACTTGATAAACATTTCGATAAGTCAGTATGACATTATTTATCTATAAAAAGAAGTGAGAAAAGTAAAAACTAGAGCTAACCTAACCTAATGTAAGCACACTGTATAAGTGAGGACAAAATTTCCATCCTACGAAGGGTTAAAATAGGCTGTCTCTGTCTTCTTTCGAACACTCATGGGTAGGTTCGAAATGACATCTACAATGTGATCGATGTGATCTTTAACCCATCACTATCTCTGAATAGTGCTTCAGAACTAATATCACAAACAATATTCATTGTCACATTTAAATACATAGACAAAAAATGAGTGATTTGAAAAAATAAAATCTAATACACCCACATGTTTTACACCTTAGAACATTATTTGACAAGTGCTGAGCATCTTATAATGATGATACTATATAAAATAGTGACCTAAAAATTATACTCCTCACCTATTAGGAGTATGAGGAAGAAATAAGAAACTATTTTGCATATTGAACAAATTAAAAAGCTCATGGAATATATATTGATTACAATATGAGTTGTTATTTCACAGTGGATATATATTGATCATAAACAACCTCCCGGTATACATGATCACAGCATGGATAACAAATCCAAAATGACTTAGCAGAAACATAATTTACAAACATGATATACCATTGAAATAAAAGCAGTTTCAGGACGCCCACATCCAATTAATATGAAATGCAATATGATCAAAATTACATATAATGTACCCAATAATTGTTGACACATCAATACATAAAAAATAGAGTACTGCAAACTCTAAAATCATTGAAGATAAGGTTTGAAGCTTCAGTTTGTTGTTTAAGAAATAAATTTTTCAGACCATAAAAGCAACAAACCATCAATTCTTAATTAAATAGGATATTAATACAGAATATCGTAAGAGAATAATATTAAGCTTCGTAATCTAGTTCGTTGTATTTCTTTTTACAAAATTCATATAATTGAACTTAATTTAATCTTGCAATTAAATGAAAACAGGATACCATTGATACATTCTCTAGTGAAACCCTAATATAATGAGAAAATAAACTATATATGTATATATCATAAGGATATTAAAAATAGTTATGTAACACAAACACTTAAATGTGAAAACTATTTGAAAACCCTACTATTAAAACAGAAATCATTATATAAAGGTTCTCAGTTGATAAGAAAAAATTAACCAAGTTTAAAGGAAACAAAATTACATCACATGCTAGTTTTAATGATAATGCTTTCTATAATGAGCATTAGAAGATAAACTCTACCTATTACTTGCTCTATAATTATTTTCTTTAAATTCCATTACTATAATGAACAAAATACAACCACATTAGGATAGGAATAATACTGAACATGATTTGTATTTAAATGCAATTTACTCCCTAAGTCATATATTGAAAATTTATTAATCAGGCAATCAATATTATTAGTCTAAATCAAACATTTATTTATTACCTGTGTCCCAACCACTATTATTTGTGGGAGTTGGATGGCATCAGCTCCCACTGTATTAAAAACGTCTTGTAATTTATTTATAACAGGTATTAGAGCTTCCATAATAAAGCTAATGTGTTGAATTTAAATATAATACAAAATAAAATTCAATATTATCAGAGACTAGGATTTAAACTATTCGTTATCTTCAACCGAGAAGATGCGAAACCTCCCCATTTTGAACATCTTGAGCTAACTGAATCAAGTCAATAAATCGAAACATTTATATTTTAATAAATATAAGTAATGAAAGAAAACAAAATTAACTTAATTTGTAAAACATATCAGAAGAAAACAAAATCTCAACAAATTCTAAAATATATTGGGAAACATTAAATTATTTTAATGAGGAAAATACATTAACATTAATGAAGAATTAATCAACAATATATTTCTCTGTTTATAAGAAGAAGGGATAATGGGAGCGGCTGATCACCTCTTCAGTGAAATAACATCCTCGGTTTAAAAAAACTAAGCTTTGGATATCGAACTGATTTATGAACAGGACCTGGAAAAACGGAAAAGGCATATAGATTCGTAACATGGAAAGTACAAACCTTGTGATAAGGAAACTAACCCAGTGTTCAATCAGGGCTAATTGACCAATTGACACGAATGAATGTTGTCCTTGCAGCCATTCAAGAGGCACTTAGACGGTACTGGTAGTATCAAAAATAAAAAAGCCACTGTATAGTGGCAGTAACGGGAAACACGATTTCGGGACAGCATTTCAAGTGGAAAAGAGAACATAAAGAGACATAATTGACTTTCAACTTATTAGAGGAAGGATGTGCACCCTTAAGGCTCCTGCACACAGAATGCGATGTCTCGACGATACGATTTCCTTTTCTGTATCACGTTTTGTGCAGAAGCCTTTAGAATAACGATCAAGACTAGACATACTTCGGTGATAAATGTGAATGCCCTAACGGAACGAAAGAACGATAAAAAAAAAAGAAAAAAAAAAAAGGCATTCTATGATGACGTAGAGAGATTTATGAGAGGATCTCCCTTCTGTGTTATGATGATATTCATTGGAGATGCTCAAGTCGATAAAGAATCAGTGTTTACAGCTACAATTGCAATGAATGATCTTCATATGATAACAAATTACTAAAGATAATGGATGATTAAGCAGCAACAAACTAACTGGTTATTATGGGCTCTAAATTCCCGCAGAAAGACAATCAGAAGCAGACAAGGTATTCGCTAAATGGTACTTTTACTAAAAAAATTACCATATTTATATTCACTAAGTATATTTATGCGAAAAAAAAGTATCATGGTAAAGAATTAGGAATGATGATTTCTGGAGTTGGAGTCGGAAATTAAATAATATGGAAACAATTATTTACAATCACTATTAAATTTGGTAAATATGTTAACACCGAGTATAGAAGTTCTTCAGTCCCCTTTTTCAGTTCTTCACTTATATCGTGGAAAATATGAGTCTTAGCTATAAAAGCGTTATATGCAAAATTAAAGCTGATAAAAGTCACAATAATATTGATTATTTTTATTTGTTCGCTATCTTCAAGTTTCCAAGATATCGGTGTCCAATAATCGCTGATTTCGAAAAAGAAGATTTTTAGCAAGACGTTTTTTTGTTTGTTTGCCTAGCCAACTCTTTATCTCTTTATTCTATGAAAAATTCGAGGAGAAGAAAGTTGTTAATCACTAAACTTTCTTCATGAATATACACTGGCAGTCAAAAAATTCCACCCACTTGATTTTTTCATGTTGTCATCTAAAAATATTTGTATTTCTATATAATACATGAGATTTTTAGATAATACTTAGTATTTATGGAATTTTATAATCTTTTTACCTTTAATAATCAAAATGTGATTGGGTAAGAAAGATTATGGAAAAAAAAAATTGAAAAACGAACCATTATTATTCTAAAAGATATTAATTACATCATCGTTTAGTAGCGCGTGTTTCCTCCTCTTGCCTTTACTACTTCTTGAAGACGCCTCGGCCTACTTTCCACCAGTCGGGAAATGTCTCTTTGCTGGAGGATAGCCCATTCCTCCCGAAGAGCCCTTTCAAGGTCCTGCAGTGTATCAGGAAGTGTTGCACGCGCTCTTATTCCTCTTCCGAGGTTATCCCATAAATGCTCAATGGGGTTCAAATCTGGAGAACGTGCTGGCCAGGCTAAAACCTCAATATTGTTCTGTTGAAGGAACGTCTGCATTATGCGAGCGACATGTGGGCGTGCATTATCCTGCATTAGAATAGAACGATCGCCGATTTCGTTGAGGATAGGCAACACATGAGGTTCCAAAATCTCATCTACATAGCGAATGGCCGTCAAAGACCCTCCACGAACAACAACCAATTCTGTGCGGTGCTCCATTGAAATCCCAGTCCACACCATTAAGGAACCACGTTGGAAAGGTTGGCTCTGAGAAAAATTACAGGCTGCATATCTTTCGTTTATTCTTCTCCACACCCTTTCACGCCCGTCTGGAGATCGAAGAGCGAATCTTGACTCATCTGTAAAAAGTACAGCACTCCATTCGTCCATAGTCCAATGGCTGTGTTCTCGAGCAAAAGCCAGCCGTGTTACTCTGTGAGTTCTGGTCAACTCTGGTCCTCTTACTGGACGAAAAGCCATTTGTCCATACTCATTCAATCTTCTCCGAGCGGTACGTTCAGAACTTTGCACACCTCGAACTTCTTCGAGCTGATGAATCGCCGTTTGCCTGATAAGGTGCCGGTTTCGTAAAATTCTCAAAGTAAAAAACCCGTCATCCCGTGGTTCTGTTACCCTAGGCCGTCCAGAACCGGGCCTTCTATTGTAAGAACCAGTTTCCCGAAAACGCCTGACGGCGTCTTGTAAAGTTTCATATGGAACTCCGATGGCATTAGCTGCATATCTAATGGAACGTCCATCATCAATAAGTGCCACACCACGCGCAACATCCTCAGCACTAAGAGGCATTTTTAAACTTAATATTGAACAAAATTAAAAGCCGGAGACTAAGAAATGTGCTGCAAGAAACCGCACTGAACTAATGATACTGAATAAAAATTTTGATTCCATAGAAAGTAAACATTGGAATCTAGAATCATTTCATTGAATTAAGGATTAAGGGTTATTTTCCTCTATATTAACATTCCTAATTGAAAACAAACAAAAATATTAGTTATTTATGCATTAAAAACAATAGACCAATCCAAAGCAGAAATATTTTTAGATGAAAAAATCAAGTGGGTGGAATTTTTTGCCTGTCAGTGTATATTATTTTACTTTATTATCTTCAATTGTTCAAAAAATAAAGCAATTATAAATTTCTGAGTTAATTCCAAGATTATGCCGAAATACTCAACTTTTTTGTTTATTGTTATTTTATTTCTCTAAAGTTTTACAGTATTTACCTACCGTAAGACGGTGTAGAGCGGCGTAGGGAGGTGGCGGCCCCATCGCCCGGTCATAGTACCGCAGATAGCCCTCCAGGTTGGGGGAACAGTTCACTGACACACATTCATAAACATAGATTACAGCACACTACATTCATCCCCCACACTACAGATCAAGGTCAATAACAGTACACACCTTAGGGCCACCTTACCTAGGTAGCCGCTCCGGATGGGGGAGCATGTCAGGACGCTCGGAGGAGGCAGCCCCTTCACCAGACTCGGGGTACTTGGCTGATAACCAATTCTCCTTAAATTTATATTATCACAAATAACAGAATGAAAAGAGCTGGATTGTCTTTACGGAACTCGACGTGGCGTGGAAAACGGTTATTTAGAATGGCGGCTTGGAACGTTCATGGCCTGAATGGGAAGGAGTGCGGGCTTGTGGAGGAGATCAAAAAAGCCAAAGTAGATCTTTTAGGCATTGCATAAACAAAGAAGAAAGGAAGAGGGGAATTAAAGATTCAAAACTATACGCGGGTGTCAGCAACGAGGAGAGAGCAGTCTGTGGAGTTGGATTCTTGTTCCATAATGACTTGGCTTCCGTAATAAAAACATGGAAATTTTTAAGTAGCAGAATAATGATGCTGGGCATTCTGGAGGGAGAAAAAATTCATTCAGTAATAGTCGCTTATGGGCCAAACGATAGTGCTAACTCTGATGAAAAATATGCCTTCTATAGTGGACTTCAAAGAGAAGTTGATGACTGCCAAGGCACGCCCATAATTGTAGGGGATCTGAATGGGATAGTCGATTGTAGCTCCGAGAGTTTCCCGGGAACCTTAGGAAGATATGGTGAGGAATTCATAAACGATAATGGCCACAGAATCCTGAACTTCTGTGAGGCAAATGATCTGAGGGTAACAAATACATTTTTTCCGCATAAAGATTGCCATAGATTTACGAGAGAAGAAGAAGCGGGAAGAAATGAACAATCTATTATTCACTATATTTTAGTCAAAAGAGAAGAAATGCGAGGAGTCAAGGGTCAAGCGAGGATTTGAGATAGGCAGTGATCATTATCTGCTGATAATCTATAGATATTGGAACGAGTTGAAACCACGAAAAAGAAGTAAGAACTCCAAGAAAAAGGTCATAAAATCATATAGCTTAAAGCAGGATGACTTGGCAACCTATTTTCAAGAAGAAATAGGAAGAATGGCCCTTGAAAACAACAGACATTGGCACTGTGATGACATTGACAGGAACTGGGCAGCTTTTAGGAAGATCCTCCTTAAAGCATCGAAATCGGCCTGCGGGAAAAAGGGTGTTGGATGTGGTCCTAGAAGAACAGCCTGGTGGATAGAAGACGTAAGAAGGCCATCGAAGAAAAGAAGAAAGCTTTGAAGAACCACATAAGTCTTAGAACTCCCGAAGCTCACCAAGCATACAAAGATCGGAGAAAAGATGCCAAGTTAAAAGTGCTTGAAGCAAAAATGAAATCTTGGGAGGATTTTGGTCAACAACTTGAGGAAAATGCCAGGGAAAATCAGAAAATCTTCTATAAAGTCCTCAAAGGAATGAGGAAGGACCGACTGACTTCACTTAAAGGAATCAAAGATAACAATGGGGAGATCATCTGGCAGGAGGAACTGATTATGGAAAGATGGAGGGACTATTTTAAAAAATTGCTTGAGGGTAGAGACGTAGAGATATGTGAGACTCGGAGCAAAGAAGAGAATGTTTGGGTCGTAGACGACTACATCAGTGAGGAGGAACTGCAAGAAGCCATCGACAAGATCAAGATAGGCAAGGCAGCAGGACTTGATGAAATCACTCCTGAAATAATGAAGTCCATGGGTGGCAAAGGCCAAGAGATATTCCTCTATCTTCTGAACCTGATTTGGAAGGGAAAGAAAATTCCGAAAGA